GGAAGATGCCTGGACGTGTGATGTTAATTTTGCCTGTGATCCTTTGAATAAACCAGCACGGTTATTTTTTATATATCCAAGTGGTCTGCGTCGTCTCTCTGAGTTCCTGGTTAGAAGAACTGGGTAATATCTTACATGTCCAAGGTGTCTCCTAGAAGTAGTGCCTGAAACACAGCAGTGCAACTTGTGCACTGCCCTCTCTAGATAACAGCAAGTAAGCCTTATGAAGGTAGATATCACCGCATCCGTTTGTGTAATCATTGCATGAGAATGCAGCAGTAGGCACTGTTGTAATGTTCAAAAGAAAGGTGGGGGTTGGAACTGACTTCTCCTATTACATATCTGGCTACTCAACATGCCAAAAAAGGCCATTTTTTGTTTTAAATTTTGATAAGCAAACCAGCCCTTTCATAAAAGTGTACTCATAAGTATCTCCTGGATCCATCAGTTAAAGGATAAAGTCTCTCAAACCTTTGTTGAGCCAGTTCAACAATAAATTAAGAGACTAGTTGTTCCACATACAAGTTGTCACCACTGCAGAGATGTGTCAGTGGTCTGCTTTGTTGATTTGGGGATCAGTCACCAGAGTGATTTTGCAGTTTTCTTCTTTCTCTGCTGGGATGTACAAGCTCCCCTGAGAAACAAAAGAAGAAAACAATTATCATTTGTTTAAACTACAAATCACCGAAGTGTAAAAATGACATATTGTGATGACTACAGGAGGTTACTGCACCCAGCACAGTGTGTTGTTTCTATGTAAGGATTTTAATCTATTGTCTGTACGCCACACAACGGCAACTGCCATTTGGTCACAGCTTCATATATACAGACATGAGAGTGTTACCAACCTCCTCATCTGTCCGGGCAAGAAGGCAAATGAGTTTACTCCCCAAAAGGTCACATTGTTCATTTGATAATTTAAGTAGGCAGGACAATCAATGAGTAAGCCATATTAACAAAACAAAACAGTCACCTTAATGTTGTTGTTAGAAATATCGCTGAGGAGGTCCCGAGGTTCTGGTATTTTAGGGAAGATTTTTTCCTTATTCCTGTGAAGTGACAGTTAAATATCAGAGGTAAAGAAAAACGAAAAGGCCACAATTGGCAAGAGTTAAACATAAAGACTTTACATACTTCCTGCAACACACCAAAGCGAGGACTACCAGGCCAGCAAAAATCAATGGGATGAGAATGGCAGCATACACCAATGCATTAGGATCTGTATCTGCACCTGCATGGAAAATCATCAGCAACATTATGATCAGCAGAGTGTGCATTACACAGCTGTAGTGTTGTACAGTATGTGTCTTTAAAAACTACAATGCATAATTTCCTATACTTAGTGGCTTTAAACCGCTGGACATTTCATTTTGTAATGAACAGAAATGATGATGACCATACCAAAACAAATCTGGTCACTCCACGGTGTCTTCCCTTTATCCATCTCTGCTTTGATAGCCATGCAGTATGGACAGTGAGAGACCATGTTCAGCTGAGCCGATGTTTCTGTGTTTTTGGTTATAGTCTGGAAGAAAGTAAGGGGACAACTGTAATAGCGAGAAATGGATATAACAATATGACTGAATTCTCTAAAAGCAAACTACGGCTGTAGCAACATAAATCTTAGAAGCAACTGCATACCTTATGTTGAATGTAATCACTGTTGTTTATAATACGTGGAAGTAAATTTAAGGCATTATTACTATAATCTATATGAATTGACGGATACAGATTTATGTGGTTTTCCCCTGTGAATATTCAGGCAATCTGGTGGCACTACAAGACGAGTCAGGGGTCACCAAAGTCTGCAGGGCTCATTCGCTGTGGCTGCTAAAGTTCCACTGTCTCATATTGAATTTTGATGTGTGAATTTAAGTTTTTCCGCTGTTTTACTTGATGTGAATTTTCAAATGATACTTTCACTGATTTTGAGCAACTTCAGTGTAGATTTTCTTAAAAATGGCAAATTAATGTGGTCATTAATTTGTCAACCCTAAAATGAAAAAAAACTTAAATAGTCCCATTTTAAAGGTACCTATAGCTGAGTCTTTGACCACTAGTAGCACCCTGGAGCATTTGCATCGGGTGCCCATTTTGTTGGTACTGAACATTAACATGAGGAGAATGTGAGCAATTATCCAGTAAATGTAAATTAGGGTCACACTCAGTAACAAGAAAGCACTTTGTTCTGCGAGAGGACAATGTTTTTGGCCATCCGGCCTTCATCAGTGCCACGGTCTCACAGGACAGCTGCTTCTTTAAACACTCCACGCAGGTGAAACCTCTTGAGTTAATGAGCCTGAACTTGGCTGAGTACTTATTCATGAAGCTAGCCGAGTTCTTAGGACACAAGTAAAAGTCACAACATTAGAAAACCTATTACTGGGCTTTACACAGGGTAGAATGTGCATTATCCTGGTAGGTTAATGCACCAATTTTCCCTGAGTGTGATGGAATCTGTACAAGACAATGTGGGCAATGCTATTCACATTCCTGCCACTTGTTTTATATTATTCCTCTGGCTGACAATCGCTGGCAACAATGCAACAAGGAAGAGCAATACGCCAACAAAAACAAAGAAGAAGACTGCAAGCTAGCAAAGCAGAGGATTTTCAAAGTAAAATATTTCAATGGCTGAACTTCTTTCTATTTAATTTTCAATATTACATATTCAGTAGTCGTAGTAGTTTGATTTTACAATTAGATATTCAGTTGTTTCTAAGATCCAATGGATCACATTGAATTCTTACATAAAATGAACAGACTAAAAAGCCACAGATAAATTTAAATACATTGTAGAGAAATATTGTACAGCTGTGTCCCTTACCTTTACTTTATTACACTCAGTTACATTAATTATGAACTTCCATGTAGACAGATCTCCGATGTCAGGAGGAGTCCAGCTAACACTGAATTTATCTCCTGCTTTTTTGACTTCCCACTCAAGGGGAGGTGGTCTCACTGTATGGAGCGAGGCACAGAGACAGAATCACATAAAGACAGTAACCTTGATCCATGACTCATAACCTTAACCTTGACTCATAACTAGTCATTAAACAAACTCCCAAATCCCCATCATACACACCCACATTTTGCTCTCTTAAAATGGCTGCACTGTGTTGTATGATTGCATCATACTCTACATTACACAAGTTCATATACACACACACACGCAGAGACAACTACACTCACTACACTAACTGCTGAAACATTTCCAGGAAAAGACAGAGAGCAACTTCTCCTCTACACTAAAGAGGATTTACAGTGTATTTCAACATATTCCTTCTTCCACAGGATTTTTGGCACCAGACTAGCAGTGACCAGTCCGCCCGTTGCTTACCGTCTTGACTAAAGTCTTTCTTGAAGGTGTTCCTGACAAGCATGTCATTCAGAGTTCCATTAAACAAGATGTGGATGCTCTGTGCGAGCTTCGCTTGCAGATCACAACCAGTCCTCACGCCGTCAGTGTAATTGTATGATGAACACTCTTGTAAGCTGGGTAAAGGATCATCAGGGGACATCGTGAGATCCTCATTCAATAACCTTGGAAAGGCAGAGAAAAAGGCAATTTACTTTCAGGCTGCATACTATTCCTGAAATCCTACAAGAAAATGAATAAAATGACAACAAAATGAACAAACATTTGAATGAGCCCAATTTCAGTCACATTTTACTACTCATTAGCATTCTTGCTGAGTTTGGTGAGGGTTAGTGCTACACTTAGCTAATCATTAGGATTAAGGGAAGGTAGGTCGGTAGTTAATAATTACCCTAAGGCCAATTTCTTGTGAAATTTTAATGTAAGCTGATAAGATTTGTAAATTATTGATGCAGCAGAACTCTCAAGAGTGGTGCGGTAGGTAGAGCAGTCATCTCCCAACAAGAAGGTTGAAGGTTCAAAGCTCGGTGCTGGCAGTCCATGTGTTGAAGTGCCTTGGGCAAGACACTGAACCGCCCCCGATGGTTAGAGCCATCAGTTGAGTTGGCGCGGCAGATGGCTGCCTTCAGTTCTGTACCGGAAACAAATTCCTTGTGTGTAACATACTTGGCCAATAAAGGTGATTATCCTTATCCCAGTAACACTATTCTATTTCCTTTCGTCTTGTGACCAACGTCTCAAAGTCAGAAAGCTGAAACTAGTTTCCTTATTTACCATTTTCATGTCCCCTGCTATTATGTGGCGTTCTTGTGACTCACTGCTGTGAGTTACGAAACAGTTATGAGACAGTTAATTATAATAATTTTATCACTTGGGCTAGCTTCATTCCAAGTGAATCAGCCTGTGCTCATTTTGCCACAACAGCGAGGTCAAACTAAATCCCAGTGAGCTGTGGACTCACGCTGGACTTAGTTAGATGCTAAGTGACAGCAACAATCTCTGTAGCTTTAACAAATGCTACTCAAACAGGAGTAAATGGTGCATTTGCTGGGGCCTATTTTCAGATGCAGATTAATACACATTTGCTCTAGTGAGTATTTACGGCTGGATGGCATGTGTGGGATTAACGCAAAATAAATTACAGTAGTTCATGCTAGTAAAGGAACATGTCACTTTGCTGTTTTAACAGTGGCACAAAGGAATAACATATATCAGGATACACAGCCAGTACATACAAGTAGGATCATTTACTTGTTTGGTTTTTATTTTCACAGGCAAAAGGATCACAGGATTGGTTGACATAAGGAAAATTACCTGCCAGATTTACCCTTTAAATTCCTCACATGGCATGCATTAGTTTAATCTTATGAATGCTGAATGTTATACAGGCATAAACTATACTGCTGATATTGTTTTCAGACTTTCTGTTAAACTTTAGCATTTGATGATAAACTTCATATATGCTTTTCAGCTTTGGATTTCTAAGATAATGTTTGTTTGCGTCTGCTGGAGATAACAGTCCACCCTCTTTAATGCTACATTACCAAACATGGCTTGGGTCTCAAAAGTCTCACACAGCCAACACATAATAACATCGGCCAGGGGCCTGTGCTGATAAAAAGTGGAGCTATTACACAAAAGGAATTTAGCCATGATTTAACAACATTTCTGCATTTGTGATGAAATGAAATTTAAGGAAATGTTGCAATACAGCTTGCTCACTTATATTGTTTAGCATGTCAGTGTGACCTAAGACAACCTTTTCTAGTTTAGTTCTGTTTGTTTTTTGTTTAAGTACACTATTAAAATAAATAAATAAATAAAACAAACAACCACATACCGATAGAAAAAACTGAGCTGTGGAGCGTGACTGGCTGGGAGCCAGGAGCAGTGACTTTGTCTGGAGGAATAGATGTAGCACTGCAAATCTGTCACCAACTCTGATAGGAACACAAACATGTACACACATTTTAATGAACAAACAAATTAGTCCAGTTCATGTTTGAGAAAAAGATTTAGACCACATTTCATTGTCTACTCAAAAGAATTCAAACTTGAGAACAAAACCTGGGTCCTATGAAGTGGTGGGTAACGGTGAGCAAAACGACCTACCTGGGTAGGTGACGTTGAGGGCAACTGTCTTACTCTTAGTGCCATCACAGTCACGTGTAACAGACAGTTGCAGAAATTCTCCCTCCATTGCCATGAAAGGTTTAAAGGGAGATGATGGAATAAAATCCCTCTAACAGCAAAGAAAAGACAAAAAAAAAATAAAATAAAAAAACAACTCATCATAGCGAGTGTTCCCAGCGAGACAACCCAGTGTGTTACAGGTGATGTGGTTGCAATCAGAAATAGAGTTGGGGATTTTTTTCAGAAAAAAAAAGACATTATATAATTGTAATGCTGTGAACTTTACAGTATCACCAGCTATTTGGGGGGTCTTCTATATGTTGTTGGTTGATTTCGAGACTTCTGTGATTTTGTTTTTAGCATTAATTGTTAGCACAAGCATGCCAGCATTTAAAAAATGCAGCTCATGCAGGTGGTTTATGACAAAATCTGGACTTTGAATATGTTCGAAATGTGACTAAGACCTGAACTATGGCTCTGAGCTACTTGTAATCAAGTATTTTCATTTTATGCTACTTCTATTCCCCTACAATTCTGAGGGAAATATACTTGTTACCTAATTTCATTTACTTGACAGTAAAAGACCACATGTACATTATAATATGCATACTTACATCTGCGTAGTCGGGGTCTTTGTTTTTCCTCTCCACCACATATTGGCAGTTTGGCAGCGAATCCTGTATTGGTGCCCAGGACAATTCCAATACAAAATCATTAATCCACATCAGGGATACATTTTGTGGTGGCAAGATTTGGCCTTAAATGGAGACAGAAAAGAGAGAAACCCAGTAACATGGGAATTCAGTGTGCCTTTTATTAGCTTCTTCTTGATCTGTGAACAGCTCCTATTTATTCCTTTCATTCAGGCTGCTGATATAGAATCCAGTGATGGAAAGTAGCTGAGCACATTTTCCCAAGTACTGTACTTAAGCACAATTTTGGGGTAAACTTTACTTTGGTATTTTCATTTCCTGCTACTTCATACTTTGACTTCACTACATTTCAGAGGCAAATACGGTACTTCTTACTCCACTGCATTTATGTGATAACTTTAATAACTGGTTACTTTTCAGAGTCAGATTAATAATACAACATACACTATAATCACAAAACTGTATTGATTCCTGGTAGGAAATTCATAAGCTATCAAGCAGTAGGTAAAGTCCTTCAAATTACAAGCACATTAGGTAGTTATAATTAGCTCCCCTTTTACCTGCTGGAACATCAAATGTGATGTACACAATAATAGATCAATAATTAAAAGCCAATAATCTGATACACATTAATGTGAAATGTGCCATTCTGTGTAATACGTACTTTTATTTGTGGTACTTTAAGCACCTGCATATTTTGATACTAATACTTTTGCACGTTTACTTATGTAAAGAATCTGAGTGCTTCTTCCACCACTGGTAAAATCATTAAAAAGGTTCTTCTTTGACTCTGTTTACATCAGTGCAGCAGGATTTTCTGTACACTCAGAAGGAGCAGGTCTGGGTCAAGGAACTGAATTTCTAAAAAAAAAAAAAAAAAAAAAAAAAAAAAAAAAAAAAAACAATAAAACATCTGCTCTGGGGATTTCCAAAAAGCCTTTCGGTCTCAAACACATTTCTGCCTCCCATCAGTCCATCAGTGTTGTGTAGTGTTTGGGGGGTGTTGCTCAGCAATGACGACCACCGGGACCTGACGTCAGCATCGGGAAGCCACTGGCTACATACAGTCTATAGTCTTTAAGGCGGAACATTCTTCAAACTGCGCATAACAAGTTAGGGAAATAGCACGGATGTGTATGTATGTCCTTACCTATTTGGGATTCGGCCATTTGAAAACAAAAACTTAAAACCAACAAACTTGGGAACATCCTGCTCTCATCTCCTCTGCGCGTTATTCCATATATTCCACAGCCGCTGGTACGACGAGGAAAGGTTTTCATTTAATTGCTGTCGCTCCTGAGGACTGGGGTCTGAATACCAGCCTGCTGTCCCAGTTTAAGGAAGAGAAGTACGTACGTGTTCGCGTTCCAAACCAACTTTCGTTTCCAGTCTCTCTGAAGGAAGGAACAGACTCGGGAGCTGGGCGTAACGCACACGCACCCGCCCCGGAGCGCTTACACGTATTCCCAAACGCACAGCCGCTTCACTACAAAAGACCAACTGAAAGCTAGTTCCATTGAAACCCAGCCTTTTTCTTCGACCTTTGAAAAACATGCTGTACATGAAGTCCTGAATATAAAGCACCTTTTTTTAATTATTGCTGAGTATTACACACACCGTATAGACTGGCCAAAGTTTAAGATTATAAAGCCAAATCCTTTGTAAAGGGAGCAGAATGTGCCAGTCATTTGTGAGGACTGAGGCTGATACCTTCACACGTTCCTGTAGTAGAAATATTAAATGAAACATAATCTCAGTGCTCCCAGCTGTGACCTGCCCACTGACACTAAAGTCCTTGCTGTGACAAGCCTGTTATTTTTGATTAAACCATGAGGCTGAGAGTGGTATGTATCACTGCTTGGTAATCCAGTAAAGCACAAAACAAGCAAAGAAACAAAAAACAAAACACTGCCCTCAGTTTAAGGAAGGAAGGAGTTTTTACTAATGGTGATACAGCATTTCCGATTTGGGACATAAGAAAGACAGAAGATTGCACAAAATCAACAGACTGGCAGCAAAGGTGTGAGCAATTTAACGTATACCCAGGTGCATTTGGTGCATTTAGGCATCAGTGTGTCTTCCAGAAAAGCTCATACAGGTTTGATTGATTTGATTTTGATTGATTTTATTCTTTCAAACATGCAGAACAGAACAAATGAACAAAAGGCAACAACACACATAATTACACATATCCAACCAATGCTAATCCAAAATCAGTTTGCTTACACATATTACAAGTTTGAATGGAGTAGGAAGAAGTCAGACTTATCCAGTCCTACCCCATGACATCATATTATACAAAAATTAATGCATCATTGGCTGCAAGCAGTATCCTTAATACCTTCTCGAATAATCTTATTCTTGCATATATCTTGTATAACACATACATTTATATTTATGTTTAAACTCCTCAATTCTAGTACTATTTTTCATGTCCACAGTTAAATTATTCCATAATTTGACCCCACTTATAGAAATACAAAATCTTTTTTTGGTTGTACGTATAGCATGAACCCTTAAATTTAAGTGACCCCTTAAGTTATATCCCCCTTCCCTTTCATCAAATAACTTTTGGATTCCACCAGGTAATAAGTCGTTCCTGGCTTTATACATAAACACAGCAGTCTTATATTCCACTAAATCAAAGAATTTTAACAATTTGGACTGTATGAAAACTGCATTTGTGTGATCCCTATACCCCATCTTGTGCACAACTCTTATCGCTCTCTTCTGTAATATGTACAATGGTTGAAGTGAACTCCTGTATGTATTTCCCCAGTTTTCAACGCCATACTCCAAATATGGCAAAATCAATGAACAATACAAAATCCGCAATGCTTTGACGTCCAGCATATGTCTAACCCTTGCCAATATCGATATATTTTTAGCTATTTTATGCTGAACATGTCTAATATGAGATTTCCAGGATAATCTGTCATCAACCATTACCCCCAGAAATTTAATTTCATATACTCGTTCAATGTTGGCACCCCCAATTCTCACTTGAAGTTCATTATGTGGTCTACGGTTCCCAAATACCATATATTTAGTTTTCTCTAAATTCAAAGATAGTAAATTATTATCACACCATTTCTTTATCTTCCCAAATTCCTCTGAAACCCTTACAGAGAGTTGCTGTAAGTTTTCATCTGATGCCCAAATGGTAGTATCATCAGCAAACAAAACCATTTTAACAGTTTCAGAAACCTTACATATATCATTGATGTATAATATAAACAGTTTAGGTGACTTTATATCTATGACTGACAACAAAGTGCCATTCCTTTTGACATGCACTAATAACAGATTGACAGAGGACATAAAGTGAAAATGAAGATGTCTGTTCCAAGATAAGATATTAGGAATTCCACTGTTGCCATCCCTCTTTGTTAAATTTCACAGAATAAAGTCTTTTTTAATCCTGTTTTGGATGTGATGTAAGGATTCCCAGCACTATCACAACACTGGTCCTGTGCTATCTGTCATGTACATACCCCCTCAGTTTCTTATAAGACAGTCTGTGCACATGCCTTGACTAAACTGGGTTAATATGTTTGTGGAGGTCAGGAGAATCACAGTAGCTCTTGGCTTCCTGTACATTCTTGGGATCACATCACCACTAGGTTATTGCTTCCTGCCAACTTCTAGCTGATATGAAGGCAGTCACAATGGCATTTGTTCACCTTTACTATAAAGATGACTCAAGCTGTGGCAAAGCAGTAATCTCTTCTTTTTCTTCCTGCTTTCCCAATCTTTCTTCCATTGTGATCTCTGCTATTTGTACCTCTTACTGGCAGGACCATGCCAACTTATGGTACGCCACTCTTATCGTAGCAAGCATGCACGCCACCCTCATTCTCATCTTCATCTTCCTCATTTGCTCTCAGTAGGAGGATATCTTGTTCTGTTTGCATTTCCCCGTCCACAGCTGGGCAGTGCCTTTAAGGTGTCTCCAAGGATTCGGTACATCTCCTTGTCCTGTCTGTGACACACCTCGGCAACTGCACAATGGCACCATGTTAACTTTATAACAGCTGAAAATCATGTTTTTGCCAGCCTCGGTGTGCTCAAGTCACTACAGCACAGGCGCAGCAGAGCACACCCCTGGCCACATCTGGCAGACATGCAACTGACAAAAAACTTTCAACCACAACAGGTCAGTAAATCCAAGCTTGTTGTTATTCTCTAAATGGTCCTCATTTGTTCAGTGAGAGTGGAAATCCAGCTGCACTGCAGGAACTGCTTTGTACATGCACAGGTCAGGAGGTTTGCTGAGGGTCACCGTTTTCCTTCACAAGGATAATTTTGCAGGGGTCAATGGCTTCTGGCCCTGGTATGTACAGTCTTCCTGTTGTGTTCTGAAAAACAGCAGCATAATGAGTGTATGTGTGGCAGAGAGTAGGCGAGTAAAACATTAACATTTATATTTAATCTAAAATATACCTTATGTTCCTTGTTTCCATTTATCACAAGTTCTTTGAATATTGCTGAAGGGTCTGGTATGATGGGGCAAATAATGGACCTGTGCCTGTAAACAGACACCATAACAAGCATGTCAGAGCCAGCACATAACATCCAACAGGCCCTATTAAAAGGTGTTTGTGTGCCCTCTGCTGTTTTGGTAGGATGATTACATCAACTAGTGATACAGATTGCAAAATGTGGTATAAATCTATTTGTTCTGTCTACAAACATTTTGCAGCAGATAAATGAAATTCTTTGACTTAGTCCTTCATAGGCAGAGTTCTCCTCCCAAAACATACCTCCTGAAGCAGTAGCAAGACAGGATGAGGCAGACAGATAGAACAATAGGGATGACAATGGCGACCACTGTCCCTGTCATGTCAGGAGGCACATTGACACCTGTGGAAAAACAACACGCAAAATCATTTCCAACTTTTTTTTCCAAGTCAAAAGTGTAATATGCACAATTCAAACTCCAGCTACATCCCAATGACTTACATCCTGCAGTCACACTATTTGCTCAAATTCTTGTGTTCTGTGTGATTATTAATGGGAAATCAGTGCAACAGACAAGGAAGTGGAGAAACTACACTAAGTCCGCATATGAGTGTGTTTTTCCTCACAAAAGCACACATTAACTGTTTTAATTATTATTTTTTTTATTTCCCAGTGTAAATTTCTCTCAGTGTTAATATTATATTAAAATCAATGGTAATGATCAGCTCTCAAAATATATTTTATGTATTAACAGTGTTCATCACTGTCCTCTATAGAGTATTTTATGATGATACCACTCGAGGGCTCTAAAACGTCCAAACTGTATACATCCCTACTGGTCCTGTAGAAGTTCACAGGGGGTTGGAGCCAATCCCACTCGGTGAGAGGTGGGGCGTACCCTGGACAGGTCACCAATCTATCACAAAGCTGACACTACCACTCACGTTCATACCTAATGGTAATTCAAAGTCACTGATCAATCTAACCCACACGTCTTGGAAGCTGGAGTACCTGGAGGAATTCCATACAGGCACTGGGACAACATGCAGACTCCACACAAAGGCCCCGGTCGGACACAAGGTTCAGACCTGGAACCTCCTGAACACAACCCCACTGTACAGCCTTTCCAAACTAAATACTTCACTGTCACATGGCTGCCACGAGGCAGACATGTTCTGCTTGGTGTTAGAACTGTACACTGACTCATCAGCAGAAATCCTATTTGTCCAAGTTGTTAACATCATGATGCTAGGAAATTAATATTGATCTTGTAAAGATAATTTAAACAATAACAACAAAACAGCCTCCAGTACAAATTTACTCTGTCTTCTAATTGTATTAAATTCTCTAATGGCTGTAATAATGGATATCTATTCATACACTCTGCTGGGGACAATGTACATTATTAAATTATGTGAAAAGTACCTGGTGAAAGAGAATATAATGTACAACATTGAGGTATGCAGGCCAGTATGACCAATATACTCTGTGAGAACACTATCTCTTTTTACGGCTTTTGCAAAATGGCATTATTGAAAATGTCGCATTTAAATAGACATAACAATAAGTCACTTGATATTAATCTTGTTTTAGTATACCTAATAAATACACTATGTAAAACTGGTGGGACAGTTACCGTAAGTCACAACTTCACTGAAGTCACTGGATATCGCTGGGCAATATTTACTGGTGAAGACTCTGGACTGGAACTTGTAAAGGCAGCGTTCATTGTAGTGCACACGAGTCGCATGCATCTCTCCCCTCGCTACAGTGACATTCTGGCATTCCTAAAAAATAGCAAGCATACAGTACAAAAGCACATTGTTGCACTTTGTCAGGCAGAGAGAAACTCTTCATGTGATGGAATAACAATGTAGCTGCCTGGATTTAAATGGCTGGGTGTGAGCACATACATGTGTAGAAATACAACATGTATATATTGATGAAATACCACTTGTGTTGCCATTTTGGGCATTTGCTAAATGCAAAGCTTTATTTCACAAAAGAGGGAGGACCACATTTTTAGACTAACACTTCCATGTGACAACTTACTCTATGCTCGTTGCATTGTGTGAAGCAGAACTCATATATCCAGTCACAACCTCCTCCGACCTCCGGAGGTGTCCAGTTCAGGTAGAGGTGACCTCCCTCTTGGTTGATGCTCAGCTTTGGTGAAGGTACCGCTGAGGAGACGGTAACAGGGCAAAACATCCATAATATTCAATATTTTACTTGGCAGCAAAAGACTAAAGTCAAGATTGAGTCACTGTTTATAAAAGCATTTAAATGACAGATGTTTTATGTTTTTTTCATAGTTTCTAATTACACCAATAAAAAATGATTAGAGCTAATACCAACCGAGCAGAGGTGTAAAGGTACCACATCCTGCTTCAGTGCACACAGAAATGCAGATTGTCTTATTTGGCTCAATTTTCAGGTAATAGCCATTCCTCGCTCCACTGCTGTAAGGGTGAGCGCACCTTTTTAAACCTTTTATAAGTTCCTCAGAACGCCCATAGACCCTGTAATGACAAAATGGGGAGTAGTGAAGGCTTTAACTGGCTCATATTTTACCAAAATGAAAACAACACAGAACTGATTTGGCTTGCTCTTGTTAACTTCAACCTCACTATTCTGCAAACTATGGATGCTGCAGTTCCTTCTGTCACCACTAGGTGCTCTCACAGACTGATACATGTTCCCAAATTCAAGCAACACAAGCAAGCCTGAGTAAAACATGAAAACGCATCCACATGTAGTTTTTCATTCAATGCAAAGAAATGTCTTTCTGCAAAACTGTGGTGAATGTGGAGACACTAATGTGGAGACATGCCGTATCTGGTAACTCTCACCTATATGAGAATGACATGTTAAGGGACTGATTTACTGGGATCCAGGAACAGTTCATTCCACTGGGGTCAAGTAAACATCTGAAGTCCTTCACCACTTCAGCTGCACAGCATAAAAACAAGTGTTGCATGTGGGATTCAGGTCTGACTCTAAAGCATCAACACTGCATTCTTGTCATCTCAGCATTGTGGGTCTTACCTCGTGGCTGGCGGGTATGAATGGTTATAGGCACAGATATGCTGTCATTCCAGCCGTCACAGGGATTTGTGATAACGGCATGAATGTTGTATGTCCAGTGATCAGAATGCGCTTCCTCTGTGAGAAAGATGTCTGTGAAATGTTTCATTTGAACGCGCTTCAGACTCTGGAAGACACAACATGGCAATTATGATATTGAATTACAGAACATTTGTCATTGTCTTTCTTACATATGTCTTCTCATCTGCGCTTCAAATATACAACACACACTACTATAGTGATCTGAAAGTGTCTGCACTCTACTATAGAAGACATACATTTTTTATGACATTATACAGTAATTATTACTGTTTTCAACAGCCAACTCTCAAATATCAAATACCAGAGATTCCTGAAACACATTTTTTCAAAATGATTCCTGTTCAGTGTCTGAATGAATTAATGAAAAGATGAATGAATAAAATGAGTAGATGCTTTTTTATAATGCACGAAGATTAAAGTGGCAATTTAGCATTGTACATCCTTATAACTGGGAATCTAGCGAGACAGAACAAATGGTCAAAACTGAAGGACCTACACCTCCCACGGTGCAACTTGATACTACCGTTCATTTTAACCCTCCCTGTCTGGTAAATGCCGTCCCTTTTCAAATTCAACCCCAAATTAATTTGAGGGCTCGGTTCCAGTACTCCTGGTGAACTCACTAAACATGATGCATAAAATTGATGGAGTGCCCCTTTAAGTGTAACCTGTAAGCTGCCTGGAATCAATTCATCCCACCAAAAAGACCCAGCTCACTCCATTTCCTACTTGTGTTGGTGAGTCCTGCGGCTGGGCTTCGAATTGGATTTGACAGCTGTGTGGCAAACCACTAGGCCTCTCCCAGGACCAAGACAGGTTCACAATGAACGGATCAAGCCATTTATATTGTGGCATTGTCGGTGGAGGAAGGCGATCTGTAGGACAAGAATTTAAAAAAGGAGAAATTAATCTTAATTTTTTTTACAGAACTATACTGTTCAAAATAATCACTCCAGCTCCAGTAGTCACTGAATTATTTCTTATGCAATTATTTTAGGCACACCGTCCACATTATGTTTTCCTCAAAGGCAAAATAAAACCATTTCCAAGTCTGCGTTATTTGACAGTCAGCTATGAATTTACCTTTATATCAAATGTAGTACAAATATACTAGATTACTACTGACATAGGCTGGTTAGATGGCCCTTCGTGAGAGATTCATTAAAGCATTTCAGCTGCAGTGTTGTTTACCTTTTGTAAAACCACTTTTACCTATGGGACTCAACCTGTTTTAGCACCATTTAGTCCCAGTTTCAACTGAACATATTCCATAACAAGTGTTAACATTATGGCAGAGCCGTGTTTAGAGACTTTTAGTTGCGCAGTTAAGCACCTGAGGTACAACCATTAAACGAGGACAAACGAGGGCCGTTTGTAAAACTGGGTAGAAAATGTTCGAAACTGGGCCAACTGGAAATGTTTCTGAACTAGAAATGCCTCACCCTATTTATTTACAGGATAAGTGTAAAAATCTCAGAGGTGTGCAAACCAATTATAGAATCCGTAGTTTACAAACCGAGGTTAAATACAGAGAGAATAAACAGGTTACTAGAAAATTAAACTATAAGTATTGTAAAAATTATAGTTGGCTAATAAAAACTGAAGAAGATCAAGAAATGCCAGTTAAGAGGTGTTCAGCTCTGATCTAGGATCGAGAGTGCGTCACAACGAAATTGAGTTGTTGTCTACCAACCACTGTAAAACCTTTATCAAGCGCATAGGAGATCATTTACTTATGTATCGTTATAAAGGGAACACCATTACCTGCGTTACAGCGGAATACCGCTGTCATTCCGGTCCATATTAAGAAGACAAAAAACTCCAGAGTAAAAGTCATGTTGGTCCCGAGTGTCTGAGCGTTTCTCAGTAGGGTCTGGAAGCGCGTCCCTTCCCTCGGTGCCGAGTAAAAGACAGTTAGTGCCACTGCATGCAGTGAGCAAACATGATGCCAAGGATGATAAATAAGAAAAAAATATTAATAATAAGCAAAGGAAAAGGGAAAGTAAAGCCAGACCAGAAAAAAGCTCCTTATTAGTCTCGGTGTGTCCGCAGACCGCGCCGGGAGCAGCTGGGTGGAGTCGGTGTTGGAGTGGGAGAATTACTGTAAAGACAACCACGCAACCACAGTAACTCGGTTCCCACCCGCAGGCATCAAAGAAAACATGTAGCTATAGTGAAAGAGACTGCGCATGTCCGTGATGATCAATGCAATATCACAAGCCGCTTCCACTGTCCACTCCAGGAAGTCGAGAGTCTCTAAATGAGTCTGTGAATCTAAAAAAAAAAAAAAGAGTCTGTGAATCATTAACAAGATTGTGTGCATGGTAATGGATTGCGCAGAATCAAACGGAGTGCGCAAGGGAAATCATATGCTCACTGGACATTTAGGATGAAAGATAAGTCTCAGCCACTCCAGTTCATTACCTAACATCTCAAATGGGAACAGGTAAGTCAGTCCTAACGTCGGGGGGGTCACAATGAGATCAACACTAAGTAATACTCAAAATGGCTTAATTGTCAAACAAAACAAAAAAAAAAACACTTCTCTATTTCCTGTAATGAAACTCAACAGCATCAATTATCATTTGTCATGACAAGCAAACTGAAACTTGTGTGTACAAATCAGCGGAGTGCCCCACACAGCACACAGCAGTGTGCTTACTTCTTTGTTTGGCTCTTTTCCTCTTCCAACATGACAATGCCAGGTCCTTAAAGAAATTGTTTTGCCGGTTTGGTGAGTAAGCATTTGACTGGTGCGTACAGAGCCCTGAGGTGAAACACCATCACTTGTGCAATTTCACAAACATTCTTGTGGCTGAATAGGAACAAACCTCTGTAGCCAGTGTGCGAATCTACTGGTGTGTATGCACAGGTGAGGTGTGCAACAATGTGAAAGAGAGAGAGAGAGAGAGAGAGAGGGTTTGAGAGGCTGTTAAAATGAGCTTTTTCAGGTGACAAAATAGTGTAACCAGAAAATCCACTCAATCACAACACAGTCTTCCTCTGTAGATGGAGTTGCCCACATCATGGAATTGTTTTGAGCTTTTTAATGACGCCTTAGTCACTTTTCCAGGTTTTATTGGAAATAGGCTTTACAAAGTAAGTGTGTCAAGCAGCTGCGCTTCAGTTTATAATGCAATAAAAATGAAAAAAGGAAAGAAAACCTCTCTCCTAGGACAGATTTTGACTGAACAAGAGTCCAGGATGTTACAAATATAAATACATACATACAAACATACATGGATAAAGAATTCAATTTACAGCATGAGAACAAATTATGTACATCTGCTTAAATAGTATTCATCTATCTGCTAATTCAGTGTAGCACTTGTGAAATACTGTGAAGAACCAGCATGTGATGAGTCTTATCACTTGAGATACAAGCCTTTTTGGGAGGCAGAGCACAAAGGCACTGGGTCTACATTCACATGAGAGGAATTCTTCATGTACTCACTGAACTAAACATCGTCACACCATCTGTGTGTCCTGCCCTCAGACCCTCTGACTGCAAAAGTTCACAGGCCACAGAATGAGCCCACAGAATACTGTTTCACAATGATTGTTACAAGGCTCAGAGTATTCATAATCATAATCTTTTCTGGCTTGACATTTTTAGCCAGAATAATCTAAGGACACCAGATTTTTTTTTTTTTTTTTTTTTTTTTTTTTACATGTACAATATAACTGAGCTACTTTTGAATTCTGCAAACCCCTCTTCAAAGCACACTGCTTTAACACAGCCCTGAGGTTTGTCTTTTCATTCACTTTGGAACAGACAGACTTTTACATTTGTCATTGAACAAATAGGGCAGTCACTATAAGCTGCTGCTCTTATTTGCTTATCACAACCTGTCAAGCTAGTTGGAATGTGCTGCTAGCTTATGAAACCAACCCTTGGCTTGACAGAAAATACGTTTGGTTTCGGTGCCTGTCACAAGAAATCAGAACTGGTTGAGTTGGGATAGTGCTCACAGTGGCAGAAAAAAAAAACCGAACACACTGTGGTACAATGCAAAAGATGCTATTCCCATCTAAACGCTAACTGAAGTATAAAGGGTGTGACATGTTCTGCATAGATCTGAAGGGCAACGTTGCTTAGTGCAGTATCTCCCCCTAGAAAAAGAATAAAGCCTGCAGTCTGTCACCAAGGCAGAAGAAAAGTGCAATGCGATCTACACCTGACATGCTGACATTTAGTTGGTGTTGCTACGATACATTCTCAGAAATACTGTAGCTTGAATAGTAGATGCGGCTGCCGTGCCATAGTCTTTCACCCCCTGACCACCCGTTGCACATCCAGGAGAGATTCTGAAGACAGCCAAACGGCATCTTCACCCAAGGGTGTTCTGGCAAGTGTAGCTGGGGGCGACCTAAATCAGAGAGCTGCCCTGTGATTTTCCAGTTAAGGTCCTAAAGGGAGAAGCGAGAGGACACACACAAGGGTGGATGGTGGCAGCAGAGGCAGCCTGGGAGGGCAGAGGTCAGCCCAGGTCGGTGGACATCCCGCTGATGGCATGAAACACATGGAGGGAGTTTTGTAACAGCGAGCGCATCATATCCTCCTGGTAGATCTGGGGTGAAAACAAAACACAGCATGAGTGGCAGCTCTCACAGGTCAGAGAGAAAACATAGCAAGCTGTAGGTTTGTTCACACACACACACACACACACACACACACACACACACACACACACACGCACACACTGATGATGAGGGAAGGTGAGGTTCAATGCATACATGCCAAATTTACAGCAAATCAGAAAAGTGAAAAAAATGTGTTTATACAATGAAATACATGAGACAAAGCTACAAATGTATGAGGTACATTGCAACAAACAAGAAAATCGGTGTGCACAGTACTCTTTGTTGCTGTGTGGGTCTTTGCACCACTTGCTTTTCTTATCAGTTTTTATTTGAACCAGTAGTTGTGTGGCAGCCGCATAACCAGACTTAAGTGTTTTATTGGTTTACCTGTTCATTTGGATTATTATTCCATTTGAACTGCTGAACAAATCTGAGATGTGGGTGGTGTGGGTGGTGACTCCGAGGCCTGGAGCCAGGCTTCAACTGTTGCTTTTTGTGTTCACAGTAGCAGTTGCTAAACAGCTGTATTTATGCCAACCGTCACGAGCGGCTAGACACCGGTCTACCAAGTGAATTACTTATATTGTTTTGCTTGCACACTCTTCTAGGCTACGATCAAAATGCCCAGGGGTAATGATTTTATTATCAATTGACCTGGCTCATGCCAATATGTGTATGCTTGATCTCAAACAGCTTGTGTAACACATCATGCCCCACAATGCAACACTGAAGGAATGACGCACAGTCCGTTCCTCTGGTTCTTCCGAACAGTTCATCAGGCAGCTGCTGAGCAATGGCCAAAGTGTTTGCTTATCCTCTTCACACACAAAAGAAAACATTTACTAATAGGCATAATAAAAACCAAATGGTCTGAAAACTGTAACCCACTATCACAAAACTTTCAGCAGCTCACTTCTAACACAGATATCAGTTACTTTGTTTTTATTTTATAAATTTGATTTAGGGTAATGTGATTATATAACTATCCTGCCCTTTCTGCTGTTTAAACATCTCTGCAAGTTTCAGCGTCACTGTTATATGCTGCTGAATTAAACATGCTCCATCAGATCCACACTAAATATTTAAGATTTTTCTTATCAAGAGGACAAACTTGAATCCCCCCGGTGCCACAGAGAAGAAAGGCTTTGCTACTACAACCATGGCTGCACACCCTGGGCCCCGAGTCTGAGGGCAGAAATCAGGATGACATGTTTATCTGTAAGGACCTTGGTTTGTTTTGGAATAACTGAGGTAGCAGTACAACCAGGATGCTATTTTTACATGGGCACACATTCAAATGCCATATTCTAAGATGGAAATGCTGAGCGGTCCACCAAGTTTGTCACTGGAGGAACATCTGGCACCACTGCCAGAACCACTGTCACCCTCTGAATGCATGTTAAGAGCTTTACATTTGAATGTTATTTGACATTTACCACCCATTTTTAAAGCATTTCCATTTTGATTGTTTTTTTATATCTAGATAAATAGATTTACTTTTGCATTTGCAAGAAATCAGCTACAAAAGGTGCAGATGTATAATTAGTGTGTATCAAAACAAAACAAAAACACAAACTGACCTTCAGCACACTGAATGATCACATTACCTGTGTTCCTTAAAGCTAAAGGCCAGCACATTGGAGAGAAAAAGTTAGACCAGTTAGTTGGATCGTATCAGAGCAGGTAAAGTCAACTCAGATGTCAGCAGGCACAGTCACACACTGAAACACAGCCTTACATTAACACCTGAACCTGGGATAGTTGTGCTGCGATATAGCCCCTTGTACATTCCATTTGTGTGACGAGATCAAAAGTAGCACATAAAATAGAGTGGACGGGCACCAGTGAAGTCATGTGCCTTACCATAAACAGAAGATGACTGCAGCATGACATCAAGGAAAGCACATGTTATACAGACATGTTCCTGAGGCCTGAGCTGGTAGTCACTGTAACAGCTCATCACACAGTAATGCAGTGGAACATCTAGTTTGTGGATCACCAGGTCTAACCAGTGAATCGATCCTACTTTTGCATTCAACTCACTCTTTGCAGAATCGTTCACTACGATGATTCCTGCACGTTAAATTAATACAGCTTCCTGCTGCAACTCCTATGACTCACTTCAGGTCTGATCATTCCAGATATTAAACATTAAGAATCAAGAAGTATTAGTGTGTTCTGCGGTCAGCCATGTTGCTGAATGGGTCAAGGACCATTAGGCTCAGCAAAGGTTTGTGAAATCAAGCCTATATTAGTGAAACCAACAGGGAAATGTGGTGATAGTGGTGCCAGTAATACTTTCCCATATACAACTGGACCCCATCAGCATCATTCACACCGTATATTAATAAAACTAAACCGCAGTGTAATTAACTTTAGCTTTTCCACAACTCGAGGTAATTGTCTACAATAAAAAATATAAAAATTATTCATAAACAGATGTGTGTGTTTAACGATGGATAAAAAAACATGGCGGTGCACTCCATGGCAGTTGGAGGTTAATGGTTTGTGTGTGTGTGTGTGTGTGTGTGTAAAGTTTGATTCAGCTTTGTTAACACTGTTGGTACATGGCTGATCCCACTATTTGCTCACAGTGGATCAGATTAACATGCCTTTTATGTGGAGCATGCCTCACTGTAATGCAACACTAATGGGATAACACTGTGCTGTGTGGTGCAGGAAACCCCTGAACTAAGGGAGGATCTGAATGTAAACTGGGTGATCTAACCACTACTGTGCCACCTGCTGTTCACTGTGTCCTGTGGTTTCTGCCAGATTTAATGAACAAAGGCTAAAATGTCATGAACCTTTTATAGAACTGTAAAAGCATGGATTAAAGGAATGCCCCGTGATGATCCACTGAGCACTACAGTATCAACCCTTAATCACAATAGACAACTGGGACAAATCATTCTGACTCACCTATCCACCCACTCAGCATGCTCTAGTGAACAGAATACAGGATGACATGTTTATTACTTATCCAGCCACAATTTGGTAAAGAGAAGTCTTCTATCATGTACGGTTGAGTGGCAGAGTGCAGTTTGCCTATCAAAGCAGTGCTCTGTGTCAGAGGACGTGGGTCAGAGTGTGACGAGGCGCAAACAAAAAGCATTTCACTCCCCCAGAAGATTTTACTGTTATCTGAGCTAGATTACCTGCTCATGGATGATGTCTGACAGCTCCTTCACCATTTCCTTGAAGTTGGCCTTCAGGCCCTCATGGTACTCAAACTGGTCCTCTTTGATCAGACGCTCGTTGATGTCCAGAGCCATGCTGCACGCCTCAACAAAACGCCTACCATCATTAAGAATGACATGACAAACTTTAATCACTAAACGAAAAAAAGTGTTGGCAAGATACAGCTCAACATTATTAAAGGCAAAACTGCAGAATAATTAACATGACAATCACCAAGCAGTCATTTAGTTTGAAGGGAAAATGGTACCTGAAAATGTCTTTAAGGTCTTTCACTTTCTTGTTACCAGACTGGTTGGATTTGCTGTCATCCAGGAATGCTCTGGCATAGGCCATGGGACCTGCATTCACCTGTAGCAACACATTCCTGAAAATGTCAATTCCTATCCTCTGCTTAGTGCACAGCAATCAGAATGTAGTTAGTGTTTTCTCAAGGCAATCAACTGACCCAGATCAATTTTGTGTAACAGCAATTTATGTTTCTCATTCATTCTCAAAATTTAACAAATAAAGTGTTAAAATGTAACTGAACCACGCTTTAAAGTGAGGGATGTGTCAAGAATATTATATGTTCCTTTAGCCGAGTCTCTGAGTGACTGAAAGCTTCACCTGCACAGAGACGCAGCCCTGCAGTTTGAGCTGCAGTTGGATCATGTCCACCTCTTGGCTGGAGCAGAGCTTGGTCAGCTCCGCTGTCCGCGCTTTCATCTCATCAATGGCCACATCCACCGGCTTAAGCTCCACCTGCTTCTCCCCCACCACGTCCACACGCTTCTTCACATATGGGAAGGTGTTGGCAGCTGGAGTTAAGAAGGCAGGCAAAATTTCACTAAAGGTCAGCTTCAGGTGATCTGTTAGTTGCTTCTTATATAAAAGGAAACATGATGATAGAAGCACACTGTATGAATGTCTCTGTAGCTTACTGTGACAACACAGTGGTTTGGATGGATTGGTAGACAAACAGTAAAAAGAGCAAAAGCATCTGTTGTTTTTTTCTGCTGTGTCAGTGAGAACAAAGTGAGTCAGAAAATCACAAAGTTAGTTTGTGAATGTTTAACTGTAGTTATGTTCTAAAGCCCAAACAAACACAGTCACACATCTGCACAATCCTGTGGGAAGGATTTTGTATGAATGCACCCACAAGACATGTTTCTGTCTGTTCTGAGGTAAGATGCACTGTGTGTGTGTGTGTGTGTGTGTGTGTGTGTGTGTGTGTGTGTAGCCCTGCCCTCAGACGGACACACAGACCTGAAACTGGATGCACATAATTACAGGCTACTGTAATTCCCAATTTCTATTTATAAACATATCAACCTAAAGCAGATAACAGCCTGTTTGTTTCATTTTTAAAAATAAAATTCATTGGCCACCAAGTACACAGACCGTCAGACGTCGTGATAAACATCACGCTTCTGGTACCAGGATGGTAAAGCAAACACCAGAGCAGCAGTTTGCCAGCTGTTTTACATTCAGTGTAAAAGGGCTTAGATCAAAAAATCTGCCTTGAATGAGGATCGAGACACCGTTTGCTGTGATCTCTGTGTAAAAGGGGTTTATGTGTATTGTCTCTCTTGGTAACAACTGTGCGCACACACACACACACTGAGGACTGTTTATCTAGTCGACTAGATGGAATAACATTTCTTGAGGGGGATTATGTTTCCATTGTAGCTAGAGGGATCCTAACATCCAACTACAACTTGTTATAGTAACCAGCTGTTTTAATGTTTACCCCCATTTACTGCATTGTACACGTGCACAGTGCAATGAATGTGTAAACACTATAAAAAAAAAGAATAAAACAAATACTCTATAAAAAATATTGCACAAAGCATAAATTATGACTTGGCACTATGAGAGGTGTTATTTTCTGACATAAGATACTGTTTTTGATGCTAAACATAAATTAAAAAAAACAAAAACAAAAACAAAAACCGTCTTGGATTTTATCTCATCACATGACGACTCGAGGCACTATGAAGTTTAGCTGACAGGCTTGATGAAACTGCTGAAAAGCTAAGAACCTTGCTTCCCTATTGACACTGCAGCAAAGCGTTTGTGTGTAAATGTGTTTCATGTACTTGTGAGCACAGTCCTCTTCTTGCACTGCTCCTCCACCCCGCCGTGCTTTTTGCCCGACAGTGTGTACGGAGTCTCAAACACAAAGCGGTTGATGTTGTGGCACTTCTCAAAATCAGTCTTCTTTTCTTGTGCCTCCTTCTCATCAAAGTAGGGCTTGACGAACGTCACCTGGACGTAGGCGAACTTAGGGTCCAGATCTTTGGGGTTTACCTGCAGACAAGCAATCACCTTCAGCAAAATATCGATATGAAGCACAACATGTACATGTCAGATACAAACAGGAGGAATGGTTTAAAACACAAGGAGGTTTATATCTGATGAGCCTTGATCTGTTCAGTGTGAATGGCTGAAGAAAAAGATGTCATCCAAAAGCAACTGAAGCCTTCCCAATATTTCCATGGTGGTAAAATATCCCCATACTTTAACCACTTTGTTGCTATAACACATGCTGCCTCACCAGCCTCCACTGGCTCAGGTTTTAGCCAGCACAACAAAAGCAGTCAAATAAATCAGTTCCAAACTGCCAACTGAGAGTTAATGAATCCATGGAAAAGGAACTCAACATTTCACACAGTCTGGTAGAAACATGTGGCTTTCTAAGTAAACATAAGAGCGGCGCTGTAACGTCAAATGACTTATTTTCATTTCTGACTGCATTTCAACTAATATAGCAACCTGCCATTCACACTGTCCCACTTGTTCCTTTTATGTACTGCACCTTGTTTGAGTCCTGAATGATCTTGACATTTTCCGGGCCAAACTTGTCCCCGTAGAGTGTCAGCAGCCGCTGAGAGATTTCAGACAGGCCTGTGAGCTTGGGCTCTTTGTAAATATACTCCTTCCCATCCTCGTCCTCGAAAAAGCCCTGTGCAAAACACACCGCTAAACCTTCAGCTATAAATAGGATGAGACACAGTCAAGCTCAAGTGTGCTAGAAAAAAAAAGCTTTTAAACAACCTATTTAATTCAGTAATACATCTTAAGTAATTAGTTTCTTGTGTGCTGTCAAAACAAAACAAGTATAAATAAATTCATTTAAATTATGAAACTGCCTTTGTGTCATCGCTATGCCACTGACCACATAACTCATTACTTTCAGACTGAAACTGTATTAATAATTGTCTGTCTGTTTACCATGTGGCTCACAAGATAAAAAGCCTGGTGCCCCAATATCAGCGTATTATTACTACTGATAATCATAATTTGTATTCCAAATATGCTACAACTTTATGCTAAGTGATGTGTTGGCAAAGTTCACTTTATTCTCCTTTCTATTAATATTGACTTTTCACCTTCTCTTAAAGCTTCCTAACAAAGGTGGGAGTTAAACTTTACTTCATGAAATGTTTTGTTATTTCGGGTATAATGCGATACACTGCGTGATACACTGCGTGACTGCCTGAGAAGAGAAGGGCCACACACATAATTGAGTTTGGCTGCAGTTTACACAAACCCTTGTGCATGCACCACAGTGTCATGTGTCTCAGGTGCATTTCTTGTATGTGCAGGACAAACTACACAATATGTCGCACTATGCAAACTATGTCCTAGACAAAACCCTTGAGGCTGATATTTGGCCTCACCTGTCCATAAAAAGCCACTCTGAAGTATGTGCCAAGCAGCCTGCGGCCTGACTGTATCACCTCCATTATCTTGTTGTAGGCTCTGTGCAGAGTGTCGTACAGGCGGCTTAGTTTCTGGGAAAACAGGACAGATGGCATCAAAGTTGGTCAATTTTGTGATCGTTTCTATATTGGAGCAAATGGTCAGTGTGTGCAGAGACAAACACATGTGTCTCAGTTATGTAATGTCCCAACAAATGTCTGCAAAACACAAGAATTAAAGTCTGCAGTGTTTCTATGTTCATGTCAATAGAAGATAGATAGAAACTTTATGCAGCCTCAAGGTCCAAATTCCAATGCTATGATACACACATATAGAATGGTTTTTTGTACCTTTTATATGATAACATAGCATACCACTGGGTGAAATATATATAAAGGCATGGTAATCCAAACAGGTGATAAAACAAAAAAAAGGAGCTTAAGGGCATCACACAGAGCAGTTTGTGTTTCAAAATGATTTTACTTAATTGTGTTTCCCCTCATGGTTGTTCCCTGTGTGGGTTTACTTCCACATTGCAAAAGCATCAAGGTTAGGCAATCTGAAAACTGAAACTGCCTGAAGGTTTGAATGTGAATCTGTCAGACTGGGAGCCTCTTCTTGCCCAGTGTGCGCAGGCAGGCTCTAGGTTCCCATGACCTTGAGCAGCATAAGCAAGTTTTGGATGGATACAATCAAGGTACCACTTCCTCCAGCATGATGTTGCTTTCAAGAGCACAAGAGTAGAGCACTTTGCAAAGAACAGAATGACTGAACAGTATGTTTATGCATGATATCTGAGTGTAGGGATGACTCTACAGTACCTCATACTCATGGCGCTTCTCATAGGTGGGGATAATGAGTTTGGCAATGTGTGTGATGAGCTCATAGCGCTCCGCTTTCCACAGTGCCTCCACACAGACCTCCAGATGTTCTACCAACACTTCCTAAAGAGGAGCAGGGAATAAAAGACAGAACATTCACATTTGCAGCATTAGCAAATAAGATTTAATATTAAGATTAGGGTTGGGTGTCATTTAAAATTGCCAATACAATACTCAAGTACTGATACTAGAGATGGGTCGATGCACGATATTGTCTGTATGATTCAATTTAAACACAATGCAATTAAATATTCAGTGACAACAATGTATGACTAGCTGCACAGTACTTGTACTTGTAAAGAACAACCAGATATACTGACTTATGTTCTTATGGCTCTCTTATTTACAAAAAATATAAAGTCACTGGTGTATGAATCCCACATGATATATCGCTAGACAAAGCAATACATTTTGTGATGTTTTTGTATCGCAATATATTGAATTTCGATTTATTGTCCCATCCCTAAGTGACACCATACCCTACTGTGAGAAATAGAAACAAAAGAAGCCAGAGTCCAAACACAAGCAGCTGTACACGAGCTTTGCCAGTCTTCTAAAACAGGCAGAATAGATTCAGTTATCCTAACAATTATCTGATTAAACAATATGTAAACACAATTATGAATCGGTACTTGACAGCTGAGTGATATTCCATGTGACGAACGCATTTTGATCACTAAAAACAAAGCACTGTGTTTTGTTACCAGACATCGATGGGATGAAAATGTAGACTGTAATAACAACCAAGCCGGATGTCGCTTTAGAGTTCAAACCCAGGGCTCCAGCTTGTTTATTTGTCATTTCACAATGTCTTGTGCAAGAAAGCAAATTGTGCATAGATGGTCACACCTCAGTGTAATACACATCTTGCATTCCAGTGTCTTCTTTCATGGCAGCCTCCTCTTCGATGTTCAAGGTGATCTTCTTAAAAGCTGCCAGGCCACTGGGGAACAACTCTGATGAATTGAACAGCAAGGACAAGGTGAAAAAGTGGTTTACCAATGTCCACAAGAAAGTTTGATCCTATATTTTATGCTCACTTTAATGTATGTTTGAGGTGTTTTGTAAAAACAGAGGAAGAGAGAATATTACTCCCTGCTTGGTGGTTTGTGACAATAACAACTGATGGAAGCAGAAACACCGTACACATGTTGCTGCCTTGGATCTAGACACCAAACAAATTTTTGAATGATAAGTGTTATCTGACTCAAACTGCTGCACCTCACAAATGATCTGTCTGTTGATTACCCTCAAATAGACACAGCCTCACATATATTTAGAGGATTAGGCGACAGCAGGTTTTGCATTAGATAAAAATGGCCATGAGTAAAGTAAACAGCATTGTTAGGCTTCGTTTTTGTTCGATGTTACATTGCTGGCCTAACAAGATCAGACTACAGAGTATTTGCATGCTGTATCTAAGAACAGATGGTGAACAAACTGGCATGTCTCTTATCGGTGGTGCAGGCAAATATTTCTGGAGGACCACAGTACTCCATAAAGAGTGTGTTCTGGTGACAGTTAGGTGCATTGTGTAATAGTGTGCACTGTCTGTGATCATATCCTCATAGTGTCAGTTCATTGTGTAAGTTATCTCCTTAACTGTAGTGGAGGTCTAACAGAAGCAAATAGTTTAAAGTCTGTCTTCAGCTAGCTATTATTGCTCTTGGTGGCCTTTTACCAACACTGCACTTGGTGTTCAGTAACAGTACATGTGTAAGCTACAAATTGAGGTAAAAGCATTTTGTGTGGTGTGTATATGGATGAGTAGAGTTCTTTACTTTTCCTGTGTAGATATTCCGCAACCAGTGCAGCCACATGAACGTAACACATAGCTGCCTGAAAAGGGAAAACAGAGTCTGTGAGACAAAGGTGAAACTGTTGTTAGCTACTCCGGTGGTAATATGTAACACTGAAAGGGAGATCAGCAGGACGTCCTGGTAAAATAAAGGTTAGACTGCAGCCACAGTAATGTTTGTAATGCTGTAATGAATGTTGTTTTATGTTTGCATGGTTAACTGCACATTTAACAGGGTGTGACTCATTCCTACCACCCACGGTCACCAACTTATCCTGGCTCTTTATCACCTGTGTAGCAATGACACGTACTCAGGTCTGGACGCTGCCAGGTGAAAAGTTCACCCGTTTCTGAAGGTTGCCCTAGTCAAAACTGAGATATCTAACTGTGATCTTTACTTCTAATAACACTGACAAGAATCTGTTCTTCTGTCTGAGGAATGCAGGCTTTAGCTTTTCGCTTCCTTTCCCATTTGTGAAATGACATCTTAGCCTACTTGCAACACACACACACACACACACACACACACAGAAAAAAAATTTAAATAAAATAAAATCTACGCACTTGACATCAAGCTAACAGTACATCAGCTGGACCACCCAGGTTCAAGCTGTGTGTCAGCCCTGACCTTTGACCTCTATCTTGAGAGCCACACAAGAATCTCCCTCCAATAAAACATCTGTCATAGCAACCCCAGTACAGTGAGGCAGTGCTAGGTTAGTATGTGACCCATTTGCTTTTGAACCATGTGCTGCGACTCAGCGTCACTCTCCCTTGTTTACACTAAAACAGGATAAAAGACCCAGTGGTTTTCTGTTAATCATAAAACATTCATGTTGCAATGTTGTCAAAATAAAACAAACTGTAAAAACACTAACATTTGTACAGGCATATCAAAATACTCCAGGTTGCTATAAATATGTTATATAAAATTATACAATAAAAACCTGAGACTGCTTTAGGTCAGTTATGTAACAAGGCGTTTGTTTTTGGTGTGTTTGTACTAAACAGCACAGTGTGGCAGGTCGCCAAAGTGATAAATTCCATTCCAAGCCTGAGCCATTACTAGTCACTCTGGAGAGACTCCTGTTTTAAGTGAACAAGAAAGCTGATTGGAGACAAGAACACATGAAGATGTATCTAAAAGAGTTTACATGGTCGACCAACCAGGAAAAGCACAACATGTTCTGCTCTGACAATATTTTTTTTTAAATTTATTTTACCAGAAAGTCCTGTTGAGATCAAGATCTCTTTTTCCAAGAAAGACCTGGCCACCACAGTCTTTATGATGTCCTTAAATTATACATTTGGACACAAGTAAGCATGAAAAGACATAAACACAGTGTAAAAAGATCAAGGTCACACCTCTGAGAGATCTCCATTCTTGAGGTGTGCTCTGGCCATGCTGTCCAGCCAGGTGCGTCTCAGCTCGGGGGTACTAGCGTAGGACCGGGCCAAGCTGTACTGGAGGTCCAGCAGCATCTCCGGGTCTTTCTTGTGCTCTCTCATCTGAGCTGTGGCCATCAGCACTGTACGAATCCGCTTGGTCAGACCCTTCACTTCTGAGGGGAATGCTGTGGACTGCAGCAAACATATGCAAACATGACCAGACCTATTAGAAAAGTACATACAGCGCCCTGTTCTTTAATGTATAGTTTGTGGGTTAGTGTAGTTTGAGGGTTCATTTACTTGCCTTAATAGGAATTACTTAGAAAAACAGTATTCTGTCAGTTTGCAATAAGGACAACATGAAGAGAGAATCATAATGATGACCAGCACACTTCCACTACTGTCAAACCGATAACTGTGAGTGATGGCTTTTAGAATCAAACCTGGGCATCTGACAACTAGATGAGATGTTTTTGATACTGCATCATACTTTCCACAGTATTATATTAAAAAAAACAAAACAACAAGTTAAACTACTGAACAACTATTCTTGTAAGGGAAGGCTATCCCTCAAACAGTCTAAAGAAACCATGTCTGTCATCTTGTAATGCCACAGCATCTGCAGCAGGGTGGTTTAGAAGTGAAATCCAACCAGAGGAAACAGACACAGGCAGTTGGACCCTGTTTTGACTGGGATATTGCTGCACAGGCTTACATGGTCCCAAATACTATATGGGATTTCAGCCATGTTATTTTCCTCACCATATCATTTTGATGCTTTCTCAGTTACATTACACCGGATTCAGAGATGTGATTGGTTATTGGTTTTCATGCACTACTCCTACTGTCTTCTACTATACCTTCATGACCTTGTCACTGTTTGCAAAGTTGTTGATGATGGAGAGAGACTCCTGGAAGCGGGAGCTGCCAGTCAGCGCCACGTCGGAGATCAGCTGGCTTACTGCGATGATGATCTGGACAGAGGAAAAAAAAGTGCAGGGATAGACAGAGAGGAGAAGAAGAGGGAGGGATAGAGTGGATGAGGAGAAACACACCAAGTGCTCTATTAAATGACTCATGTATTGACCAGTCCAGTGTTAGTAGAGAAGCCAGGAGCTCAGCAGACTGCCTGTGTTTAAACTGTTTAAACATCCTCTTCACATTCTTCACCTCTGGTATGAAAGCAGCTGCGGCACTCAGAGGAAAGGCTCCAGGCCCGAGGTGAACATCAGGGTGAAGAAGTACAGACCATGAAAGACTTTGTTACAGACTACCATGTGTGTTGGACACGCACAGCGCTTTACTGTACCTGCAGGTGTGTGCGGAGGAAGGTCTTCCTCTTGGTGTACTCGTAGTTGTTTCTCATCAGCAGGTAGAGCAGGGCGGACGCCTCGGCACGCAGTGACAACAGCTTAGAGACGCAGCACTTGAGCACCTCACAGCACAGAGCTTCGCACAGCGTCACACGGCCCTTAAACAGCACCGAAGGGAACTAACGGGACAAAGTGTTAGTGGATTAAAGGCAGATTCTGGGATGGGATTAGAAAATACTGTAAGTTTGTAAGGAGGACAGCAGGAAAATGGCAATAAGGCATTAGAAAGCACAGCAATATATATATATATATAATTTCACATTTCTGGCTACCATGCAGTATTTTGTGTCATTTGACTTTGCCAGCTGGTTTTGTAGAATATGTGTATGCATTTCTATTTGAACCAACAATCTTGTATTACATTCAGGGTTTCTCTTCTCTTTGAGATATTTAGTTTTTACAATCTAGTTTTGAACAAACAAGGAATTAACTATTAGGGGTTTCCTTTCTGAAGCAAATTAAAATAGTGTCATAGGACATTATTAGGTTTCCTTCAGATTCAAACAGCTTTTACAACATGCAAATACAACAAAGAGCAGCATTCTTGGGGTTTTTTTTTTAGGATAGGTAGACATGGGGACATTATAGTAATTGCAAAATTTAGATTTTGGAGGCAATCTTTTATTTTTAAATAATACCTTAGTGCTTCTCTCTATACTTTCCAGCTAGCCCTGCCCTGCTAGTCATGCATCATTATCTTCCACCAGTTTTTCCTCATTGTTTCATTTGGAGTGCAGGTATTTACAGCAGCAGAGCAGCACACTGGGAATAGTCTCAAAATAAATAACAGCGTGTGTTCATGCTAATGAAGAAGCATCACCAGTGTGGCTCAATGATGTGGCACAGAGGATATTTCAGGCTACACAGCCAGTGCTTGTCACTAGGTTCAGTTCATCAGGATTTGTTGACTGATTATTTATTAAACCTTTGCACTTTAAAATCAACATGCAGGATTTTCAAGGTGCATTTCTTCCTCATTTTTGTTCTCCTGTCTAGCCCCCCACTGAGCTGGATTGTTTAATAAGGATAATCACCTGTATTGGCCAAGTATGTTACACACAAGGCACCACTGTCGCCTCCCATTTTTTGTTTTTTTTTAAGGATTAGTATTTTTAAGGATTAGTATTTGGTAATGGTCATGTGCATTATTCCAGAGAACTGTTTACTGTGTGCAACTGTAGAAACAGTCTCCGGCTCAAACTGTAAGAGAAAAAACATGCCAGAACAGTGTCCCCTGCTCCTCTCCTCTGACTCATTAAACAAGCATGTACTGACACTATCACTATCAGGATATTACTTGAAAGTGGATGGTTTCCTCACACAGCAACTACATGTGTTCATTCACAAGCCTGAGATCCAGTCACCAAATTAATGTGCAAATAAAAACAACCTAAAAATACACAAGGCAGCATGTGAACATGGAAGCGTAGCGGCAGTGCTGACAATAAACACAGGAAATAAGATATTTGTTGTATGCATCCGCTGTTCTTAAATGGTGAAGTTATTATTAGCAGAATGAGAGAGTGACTGTGTGAATGACATGTAGGCTGGAAAAGCGGCAGCACACATCTCTTGGTTTGTTTACTAGTGGTGGAAAATGCTGTAAGCAGTGTCCAACAACAACAAAACTAGACTAGCATTCACCATCAAAAACACAGCAACTTATATCAGGGAGCTTCTTCGTTACATCTTTTTCACTATTTCATGCTGTGTGTGTAAGCACGAGTATGTCGACACACCTTGTTTATGAAAGCTCTGAGTGCAGCGAACACGTGTCTGAGAGCAGCTTCTGATTGGCCAGCTTTGAGGAAGGATAGGTAAACTTCAAACACTTTCTTCATCAGGGGGTTGTGACCTTCGCTGTCCAGCAGCTGGGTCTGACGCGCACACACACATACACATGGATATTACTAACATCCTATTGCGCACATGTGAGTCAGTGTGTGACAGTGCGTTTTTGCCTATGTGTGTGTGATGTGTGTGTGTGTGTGTGTGTGTGTGTGTGTGTGTGTGTGTGTGTGTGCTGACCTTGAAGCACTGAGTGAAGAAACACAGGACATCCAGGACACTTAGGGAGACCTCTGTGGAAATGTTGCCCTCCAGCAGAGCCAGGTGGTAGACTTCTGCTTCTGATGGCCCCGTCCCTAGCACACACAACCCCCAAAGAACATCAGTACACAGTGTATGCTGACCGCTCACAATGCAGTGAAGGACATTTTCATTAGTGATGAAGCTGATGATTACCATGCTGTGTTTAAGTTTTAGCATTATGCGTGCTGACGCCTGGCCTGCTTTAATGTGCTGATTTCAATATAGTTCAGAAGAACAATTATTCATTGTTAAATGAATTTGATAGCACACATGTTAAAAAAAATAATTCTCATTTTATATACTCTTAATGGAAACAAAATGTCCCTTTCTTAGAAAATGATTAGGGAAATTATTGTAAAAAGCACTGCACAGACTTTTGGATATGTGGTTACCTATATTGAGAGTGAGGGAGGCTTCCATGGTGCTGAACTGTTGTATCTTAGTCTGCAAGAGACTGGCCCGGTTGCAGCGCATGGCTGGCATTGTCTGAGACTTCCTGTCTGAGGAGAACAGCTTCGACACACAAATGTCCTGACTCCTACATGAATAACACAGAAAGACAGAGCAGTTATTTGTTTGAAAAACAGACAGAGGAGAGAAGGGTACAGAAAGCAAATAAAATGCTGCTGAAACATCACTAAACTGCAGATCAACACAGAATAAATGCTCATGGCTCATGACACACATGGAGAGTAAAAGGCAGATATGACAGGTAACCAGCAGAACCTACTGGTTCTCCAGCCTTACCGGCCAATGCTCCTCTTTCCAATGTAACGAAACTGAACCACACAGATCCTGCAGGTACAGTGAGAACAACAGAATATATAAACAGGTTTTGTTTGAGCATTTTTCTTTAATGAGCAGTGCTGGATTACTGTTGTGTACCATCTGCTGTCAGCACATACTGTATATACTATGATGTTCAGTGGCTAAATGCAATTTTTTGAGATGAGAACTGTCCCTCAAATCAATGTATGCACAGAAAAGAAAGTTAATTTCTTTTTTCCCCCCAATGATTTAGCTGTGGACAGCTCAGTTTATTTTCCATTATCCATGCCACCTTTTGCTGTCTGTGGACAGTAAACATCTGTTAGAGCCCAGCTGTTGACTAACTACTTTGGACATTACAAAACAAGCACTTGATTACTCACTGTATTATTGCATTATAGCACGTTATGTTGTGAAGAATGGTTTGTTTCCACAGTACTCACTCTAGCAAACTGAGGAAGTTCATGATGTCTTGAGGGCTGATTTTGTTCCAGTAGGCCATGAGAGTGTCTGTGGACAACAAGAAAGACGCACTCTGATACATGCTGACTTTACCGGCATTTATCAAGCTGTATCAACCTTGAATAAATGGTTCCTGTTGGATTTAGAAGAATAACTAAATTAGCCAAACATCCTCGATGGGAAAAGCCTGGCTTACAATCAGTTACTCCTTAAAGCTCATTGTTTGTACAGCAGCCAAGTGTCTCCATAGACTCTATCACAACATATCAGAGGGGTTAGTTGCTGGACGTCATATCCCGTGTATGGTGAAATGTGCAGTGTGGGCGCAGATTATCACTGACCCTCTGACAAGGTCTTGACAATATGCAGGAAAGAGAACAGAAGGCCTCTGATCTCATACTGGCCCAGTCTGCTGATGGGAGGCATGGGGCTGCTGCTCATGGTGGAGCTGCGCCTCTGCAGCTGGAACAAAGCGCAACACAACAAGAACTCACACTGGTCACATCACTAAAATTATTGGTGTGAAAATGCTGATGCAATCAAGCAAAATTAGTCTTCTGTATTTGATAAAATAAACAGGTTTCTAGTCAAAAACTTCTGAAGTAAACAAAGGCTGCACAGTTACATTTGTTTAGACAAGCCCAAAGTCTAAAGCTGAACACGGTACCACCTGGCTGACACACACCCCGGAGTTCCTACTGCAGAGATACATCTTTGAAAACCAGTTACAAATATTTACTGTTTCATTTAAATGAATTAATGAACAAACAAAACAATACATTTTTAAACAGCTGGATTTTAGCAAATGTTACTTGGAGTAGAGTCAACAGTGCATTCTTTGAGGATTATTTGTTGCCATAGATAAATACACATTTATACTAGTGAGTGTTTTTGACACATGATATAAGTGTGATAGACTAAAACTAATATCATGTAATGGCAGAAAGGATTCAGGCTTTGGATACAGAAACAATATTTGGTAGTTAGTTTGGGTCTGCTAATGGAATCTGTTGACAGAAAGGATATAGAATTTCTACATCCTTAGTTTTTAAAAGAGGGTACTGCTCATGTTACAGTTGACTCCACTATTCCAACAAAAGCAAAAATTAAACAACAAAGATCCATGAATACATCAGGCAGATGGCCCCGAATGATGACGTGCTTAGTGAACACCTCAGGTAGCAGAAACCAGAGGAACAAAGGAAGGAAGAGCAGGAACCGTCATGGAAGGACAAACCTCTGCACGGTATGTACCACCGTCAAATAGAAGAAGTGGCTGATATCGAAAAATCCTACCTGTGGCTGGACAAAGCTGGACTGAAAGACAGCACAGAGGCACTAATCCTGGCAGCACAAGAACAAGCTCTAAGTACAAGGTCATTAGAGACAGGGGTCTACCATACAAGGCAGAACCCCAGGTGTAGGCTGTGCCAAGATGCCCCTGAGACAATCCAGCACATAACAGCAGGGTGCAAGATACTAGCAGGCAGGGCATACATGGAACGCCATAACCAAGTGGCTGGCATAGTGTACAAAAACATCTGTGAGTACTGGCTGGAAGTCCCAAAGTCAAAATGGGATACACCTCCAAAGGTGGTCGAGAATGACCAAGCTAAGATCCTGTGGAATTTCCAGATACAAACTGACAAACTGGTAATGGCCAACCAACCAGACATAGTAGTGGTGGACAAACAGAGGAAGAAGGCCGTAGTGATAGATGTAGCAATCCCAAGCGATAGCAACATCAGGAAGAAAGAACACGAGAAGCTCGAGAAATACCAAGGGCTGAAAGAAGAGCTGGAAAAGATGTGGAAGGTGAAGGCACAAGTGGTCCCCGTGGTAATAGGAACGTTGGGGGCTGTGACCCCCAAACTGGGAGAATGGCTCCCACAGATCCCAGGAACAACATCTGAGATCTCTGTCCAGAAGAGTGCAGTCCTAGGAACAGCTAAGATACTGCACTGGACCCTCAAGCTCCCAGGCCTCTGGTAGAGGACCCGAGCTTGAAGGAAGGAATAAGACCACCCCAAACTGGGGGGTGAGTGGGGAATTTTTTTAAATTTTTTTTTTATGGAGACAATTCTTTTATTTTTTCATTTGTTTAATAATGGTTTCTTATGAGAAAACGTACAGTGATGCCTTCAGACTCAAATATAAAACACTGTCTATAGCATGTGTCCTAGGCAGTGTATTTGAATTTCAATTTAAATGGCAGCAAGGCAAGTACATGTCTGGTTGCGCTGGGGATGCATTAATGAAGATTTTATCAGTGGGTCAACTAATGTGGAATGTTCTCACCTCGAGGCTGTCTGGTGTTCCTGGGTCCAGAAACAGAGAGCCTCTGGAGTCCTCTCTCCTCACAACAAGGCCATTCTGAGCTGGCACACCTGGAGCCAACACCGTGCAGTATTGTTAATATTAACTGAAATCAGCACAAGCCAGTATTCAATGACTCAATTCTTACAAGTTCAGTAGCAGGAACATTTTTAAAATTAGGAGACAAGCTAATACCCTCTGAAGCAAAATAATAGTGCACTGAGACACCCTGTGCATTAGGCTGGTAATACCTATTGATACCATGGTATCTGGAGGAATCGAGAGATGTTAAGAAACCATAAATGTAGGAGGAACTCATCAGATTTTAAATGCATGATCAGCTGAGCCTGTGAAAGTATGTATAGTAAGTAATCATATATGGAAGAAAAGCTCTGTGACATCTGAGAACATGCCCCTTGTTATGTCACTAGGGAAAAGATGTTCTGGATATCTGGGCTTTTCCTGCTTTGACTTGACCAGTGTTTATTTATTTTCTGAATTTGACCTCTGCTTAACCAGGCCTGAGAACTCTTTTTTGAGGGCACCCTGGCAAGACAGCAACAATAAAAATCCAAATAAAATGCAATAAACAAGCATTATACAAACAAGTTCAGTGCCAAACTAGACAGTACTCAGAGTGCAACTGCTATCAAGGGGAAACTCAACAAAATATTTCCATGATAGTTTGATCATGAAAATCTAATGCTGGCATTTGGAATGACGCTGATATCATTATTAGTTTGAAAGTTATTTACAAAAAACGATAGACAGTCTCTGTTTAGAGCAGGGTCGGGCACACACGCAGTCAACTGGGCAGAGGACATGATGGATCACTCCATAGTGCAACAATCAATCAGTGATGAAAACTATATGAGCAGTTTTATCAAACACCTGGTGAACAAACAGAACACAAACTTGCAGAATTGTGATGTCTTCACCGCTTCGCCCACAGTCCACTCACTGAAGTCCTCGCTTTACCTCAAAACCTGTATGGTAAATGCTAATGACTGAGGTGTGAAGAGCGGACATTTAACCAAACACAGACACTGCTCCGCGTGCATCCACCCCCTCCCCTCTTGCGTTCCTGGCACTTGATTTTAGTACTACCCCGACCGGTGCCGAAATTTAGCTCCCAGATTGCATCTCCGAAACAAGTGCACAGTAGCGAAAACAAATGCGGAACACGTGACGAGTGTTACTCAGCGTGACATGTAGTAGGTTCCTATGATGGAAAAACCCCTTTAGTCTGGCGCACAGCCACTGCTCTCAAGAGTGTTGTTAGTCAATCAAGTTGTGTGTCACATCATAGCCACAGTGCTGAGGGTGCCTGTGGGGATAATAATGGATTGTCTATAAACAGGAAGAGGCCAGACACCAAATGTATTTGTAGTTCCAAACTAACCATGGTCTTTTTCAATTGCAGTGCTGATTCTTCTGCTATCTGCGGAACCGCTGGATATCAGGTCATCTCTGGAGTCCTAGACAATCACGAGATGGAAAAAGTGAAAACTGGGTTCCTGTTAAGATGCAAACTGTTACTACTGAACACTTCAATAGGAAGATGCTCAGAATTAATCATAAACAACACAGTAACAGAGTCTCATAGCAACACAGCAGCACTCACACTGAGGCCAGACCCAGGGCTAGAGACGTGCGGCCGGGCAGACAGCTGCTTCAGATTCTGGTAGAGCAGCTCAAATAGAGGTAGGTAGAGCAAACAGATCCTGGCCTGCTGGTTCTAGAACATTAAATACAACTAGATGAGTGACTTAACAATGAATGCACTGACATCACTGTCAAAAGTGATTTATGAATTCTCATGAGGGACATAACAAAATGGCTACATGTGCACAGCCAATGTTGTTCTTACCACTCTATATGTTAATAAATCAAAATCATTCTAAAATGACAGGCACTTGCCTGCGATTTGTGATTATCATACTGTCAGGCCCCCCATTTCTCTATATAAGGCCATGAGGCAAGAGACTTACTCTGCAAACAAATTTAGCTAAGAAAACATTAATAAATTCTGGATTTGTGACTGAATTGTTCTTAAGCTCGGTTGTGAATGAGGCCCATTGTGTGAATACTTCAGTGACATCAACTATTATACCGCAAAGTGTACTATACGCCACTGATGTTATAGCACATATTACTGATATAAACATGACAACAAAGTGTACTATACGCCACTGATGTTATGGCACATATTACTGATATAAACATGACACAATAGGTGCAAAAAGAGGCTTTGTTTTGTGTTTTTAACTGTAAAGTTGGGCAGGTTTGGCGCTATATTTTATGTGAATAGCGTGGCATTTGGATTTGATCAGTTTTGTTACAAAGCCCACATTCCTTCCCAAGCAAACTTTTAATTAATCTGATCCAAATCTGACCTAGATAGATGATGGATTACACCTGGTTATACTGAGAGAATGAGGTGAATCCTGTTGTTCTCTTTGGGAATTTCTGTTGCTTGAGGAAAAATGAGTGTAAAAACTACTTTTTGAAACAAGACAACGGCAAGGCATTGTGGCTCATTTGTGGGTGTCCTGACCATGTCTCATTCTTAAAATAGAACTATTCTGAACATTCAATGGGTGTTTCACCCTCTTTCGTGTTACAAATTCTTCTTCCTCCAGTCATCAAGAACTGCAATCAGCCCCACCCTCTCTCACCTTGAATGCTGTGTAGCGGTCATCTATGGCGTGTTTAACAAGAAGATTCTTGAGCACGCTCACGGCCAGATGCCTGACCTCTGGGCCTTGCTGCACGGCCTCGGCCACTTCTCTCAACAGCAGACCCACCAGGAAGTGATTGCGGCAGTAATCCTCTGTCAGGCTGAACTCTAGACTCTGCTCTGTGATTGGACCAAAGAAGAAGTGTCAGTACACTAGTATAGGGTGAACTAATGCTGACACCAATACGGTTTATTGGGATACTCTCTCAGACAGAGATTGAAATGTCCTAATATTAAAATCTGAACCTCTTGAAATGTGCTTCTGTTAAAGCTGTAGCTACAGTAGTTGATAGTTAGAAATGTAACCACGACTAGAAAATTGGAACTGAACCACAATCACAGCTGTTCAAAGATCGATAATTACTGGTCTGATATAAACAGAAGTCAAATGTATTGTTACTATGTATATTTATAGAAGCATTGTTAGTATATGGTGTCATCAATCCAATCATCCAAAGTGCAACACTGCAAACTAATATGCAAACTATGTAAAATGTTGATTTACCACACAAAAACATTTGTTCCTTGTTGCCTAGACTGGGAAATGTGCAATGTGGCAAAATCCATTCTGTTCATTCAGAAAAGAGAATTTAATCAACAGGAAAAGGAAGATATGTCACTGGAACTGAGAAGCTGTCAGTTTCATAATGCTGTGTAGTTTCTCAGCAATGTTGTGTAAGTATTGAAACAGGCAATGCAGAAACTAAGTAACCATCTGCGATTATTTCCTCTAATGACATGGCAGACAGAGAGGCGGAGAGAAGACAAACAGTGAGAGAAAGACCCTCAGCTTTATGAGATGTTTCCGTCTAGCGTTTACAAGTATCACATCAATAAAGCATTAAGAAAAGAGGGTCATTTGATATCCACAACAGCCAAGCTCCTCTCTTCTAAAACGCACAGGCTTAGGGCTCTGACAGGCACAAGAAGGCATTAACCTAGCGTTAGCATTTTGCTGATTGAATGGGAGTGAATGTGTGCCCTATGAGAAAAGCGTGCCGGCAGAATGGTGAGTTAGTTCAGTTCAGAACAAGGAGTGGTCATGTGCAAGGTGCCTGCAAACGACAGCAAACACTGATGTTTGGTATGGTGCGGTGAGCATCACCTACCTACAGGGCCAAAAAGCTCCGTCGCATATGGAATTAAATCTGACCACAAGCAAAACACACACACAAAAAAAAAACAAAACAAAAAAAAAAACAGAGAGGGGAAGTAAAAATAAAGATACTGGGGGTAGAACTGTAAACAATCCATGCAGCATTAGCACAGCACACAGTCATTGTCTTTTCACTTGTGCTTGTGTATGACACCTGTCGTGACAACAAGTGCTGGGTAAACTTGTTAATCAAGAATAGATCGAGTATTGGCAGGTAAGCCAGATAGGTGTGATTTGCCACCTGCTTAATAACAGACCTCTATATGAGTGAGCCAAACAAATGGGCAGGTTAACAGAGAGATTCAGTGGTGTGGATGCAAGTCAGTTAGGGGTAGGCGGTCATGTGAGAGCTAGTTCTGGTTACGTGTTTGGTAGGAAGCATTCAATGGAAGGCAGACTATGCTGCCTGGCTTTCACCTTGTACCCGCTGCAGCTTGGTGCGCCCAAAAGCCATGGGCAGGTTGAGCGGGATGAAGTGCTCGTGGTTACACACCGTCATCAGGAAGTCAAACTTCATTTCAGTCAGCACCTGTGGCAAAACAAAAACAAGTAGTGTGCCCTTTACACGCAAATGGAAATTTAAGTCAGCTTCCTTGATGTGTAATTAACATTCCCCTCATTGTTCAAATATAATCCTCAACACTGTTGAGTGAGCTTCTCAAACAAAGCCTGCTGTGTCGGGGTTGGTTTTAATTTGTTAGTCAAATGAGCTGCTGACAACAAAAGAGAAGTGTGTGGTTTTCTGTTATGTCCAGATTAAACATGCAACTTTGCCTTTTAAGTACTAGAACAGGTAACTGTGCAGCAGAAAGCACAAGCCTGACAAGTACTTCATTACTTACTACTGTTCTCTTCTCAGTGACCTGAAACTTGCACATATTGCAGGCAGTTCCCTTCCATTTTTCCTCTTCACAAACAATACCTTCAGTACATATTACCGAGCGTGCTGTCTTTTATGTGTCGTGACATAAACATGAGCTGATTCGAAACATGTACCTTGGGATCTTTAAGACTGAAATGACACATGTAGTGATTGATCAAGCTGAAGGCGAAGCCCCTGTTCATGAAGGTCAGGCACCTCTGAGGAGAGAAGAAGCTTGGTTAATACACATGCTATTGAGGTAAATGCAGACAAAACAACTGCACTATAATGGCAAGAAGAGCCACGTAAGAAGCTCAAGGTGCAATGACTTGTACAACCTCAGGTAACAAAGCTCAGGTGGGAGCTACTGAGGTAAAATCTTCTTTGACAGTTTGCATCTGTGCAAGTGTAGAGGAAACTCAATTATTCTCACCACAACAGAACAAGTGAGAATAAAGGTTCCTTCAGACATGAACTTGGTTTTATGTTCTGACTGTGGGGTTCAGACCTTGATGAAGTTGGCCAGACTCAGGTTGATGCAGCGGGCTTCCTCTGGGATTTCCATGTGGCGGATGGTGATATGAGGCATAATGGACAAGACCAGGGACTGAAGCGCTTGGTGAAAACCATCGGAGAAGCGCTGGGCCCGCGGCATCTAAACAGGTGGATAGGACAATATAGACCATTTAAATTAAAGTTATAATGTCACGCAGCTGGAAACACTAAGATTACCAGTATACATACAGATAGATATATTTTATCTAAACAGATCCCAGTTTACCAACTTCTTCACAGCGGCTACTATATAGACATCACTTTGTTTACTGCTGAAAGTCTGGTATTGTTGGTTACAATCCAGATGATATGCAGACCCATGGGAAATATACACGACTAAATGATTTACAGTCTCTTCTCTGAGTGTGTGTGAGGTTTGTTTAAATGTACTGACATGTTTTGTAACATCACATGTGCTTGTGAGATCCATGCCAGGTTGAGACATTTGACCTCTGACTTGGGTCACCAGCAAAGACTGTTGTTAAACACATAGGAAATAGAAACACCACCTGATACCAACCTTCATGCGGTTGTCCTCTTGCAGGTACTGGGCCATGGATTTGGCCATGGTTTCAAGGAAGAACCAGGAGTACTATAGAGAGTGATAAAAGATCACCGTTACACTGCTATCGGTTACACTTACAAAGATGATTAACACAGAACAAGCAGGCACATGCTTAAGGATGTGTTCTCTGGAAGTAATAACAAGAGAAGCGAGACAAATTCACTCTGTTTTGGGAAAAGGAGGAGCCTTTTCATAGGCAAGGAGGCGACCTGCTGTTCACTGTTGGTACTACAGCTAAGTGAGTGATGAAAACTAATTCAGATGTGCACCTTGAGCAGTTTATTGCTGGTGTTGAAATCAGCAGTTTGCTTGAGGACGGCCGTGACAGCAGTGGCCAGCACCTCGTGAGTGGTTGCTGAGTTTCCTGACGCAGGATTGTTGGTCACAAACACATACTAAGGAGAGAACAAAGACAGATCCTTACACACAAGATGCACTTTCAACTGAAACAGAAAAGGTACCAAATGATATTTGATCATGTCACTCACTTTACGTCATATGCTAAAGTCAAGTAGCATGTGTTTGTATTGGTAGGTTACCTTAACAAAAGAACGCAAGTAGTGCTCCAGTCCTTCCTCATGACATCTGGAGACTATATGTATTATCACACTGAAGGTGCAGAGCAGCAGAAATTAGATACTATAAGGTTTTTTTTAACACAAACTGAAACCATGTTTTACACAAGTGAACAACTGACCGAAGAGAGTTGACAGCAACCTCATGGGCTTCTTTGGTGGCTGCTGTGAGCACCTCAAACAGCTGCATCAGCACAGTTGGTAGGAAGTTGATGATCACGTGAGTCTCCATGGCATGCAGGCACTGTGGAGTGAGGGCGAGAAACGGAGGAGTCAGTTAAAAAAAACAACCTACAGTGCCTGATGAACATTAGAACCAAAGTACTATTCAAGATGGTAATAAAAAGCAGATGCTAATAAGACGAACTGAGAATCTCAGGCTGCACACTGGCATAAAGAGGTCTGTGATTTTTTTCTATACATTATATACCAGTTAAAATGTAAAAGACTTGATTACATAAAGAAAATGTAGATTCTCTGAATCTGAGAAACAACCGTGTCTGAACTGGTCCCTGCTGTGAAATATCTGACTGAGCGGTGACTCGCAGCAGCTCACCTTCAGGTATTTGATAAGTTCTGCCGGGCCGCCCTCTGACGTCGTCCCCATCAGCTGGCAGTGCTGGAAGAATTTGTGTAGGTGCAGGTCCTGTAGAGGTAACAGTACACACACCCCAGTGTGTGTCTATCAGCTGCCTTTATGCATACGTCACATGCATGTGAATAGGTACAGAACAAAAAAGAATCAAGCTGTACCTGAGCATATATTGTTGATGCCACATGGGTCCTCACTTTAAACAGTGCCTTGGCATTTTCCACCCACTTGATATCCGGTTGAGACTGTTCATCGGATATAATACACAAGATACAGTATGAGCTATACATTTTTCAGGAAAGGATCCCACATACTGCGATTCCATTACTGGCACAGTTCCCTATGTGAACGTTTTGCTTACACTGCCCTTCAAATGCTGGACATGCATGAGATAAATAATGAAGTGCTATATCAGTGCTTGGGTTTTGGTGTGCAGGCACATGGGTCTACCTTCCTAGTGTCTTGACACAGGTATCCAGCAGGCAGGGAGGCGGCTACAGGCAGCTGGAGTTCTACTGACTGCATCCTCCCATCTTTGAGCAAAGGCATCCAGGAGTAACCCACTGGAAATATATGAAAGTAGCAGACTTAGCAAATGAACTTTTGATAAGCTAAATACCAAAATCCTGTAAATGGGTAAAACTTTGAAGGCAGCATATTGACAGCACTACAACTGCTTTACTTGACAGAAAGCACCCTGCTTTATAAGCAAAAGAAATCTTACAATATAGTAACTGCAGTCAGCTTTGTTTTTTTCTTTATTAATAATGTTGCACTCAAGGACACACACACACACACACACACACACATACATATATAGCTATTATAATTTGTATTTCTCTCTTTATTACAACCTAACCAGACAATATAGGAAATATGTACACAGTATTAAAAAGCTAACATTTCAGAACAAAATGGCTTCTACTCTCCAACCACTGATATTCATGCCAGTTTTTGCGAGCTTTTGCATATATTTGCCTTTTCTCCATACCCTCCTTCTGAAAATGTGGCTTCTTCGCCGCTGTCCTTCTACAAAGGCCGTTCCTGATCAAGGTTCTTCAAACTGTGGGAGGATCAGCTGGGCATCTGGATGAGGGTTGCCAGATGCTGAGCCGGGTCCCTGCTGGATTTCTTTTGGTCTCTGAGAAGAAACTCTGAGAAACATCCCATCAGATCTTGATGGTTTTCTTGGTCTTCCTCTCTGTTTTTGTCCTCGGCCTCTCTGGATTCTTGATATTTCTTTAGAACAGCTTGAATAACACATCTGGAGTATCCAGTTTGTTTGCTGACATCTTTGTATTTTTTAATACTGTGTACATGTTTCTTATATTTTCTAGCTGTATTCTGATAAATACATATACAGCCATCACACAACATTGCTAAAACAACAAATCTAATGGTGGCCTAAGACCTTTGCACAGGACTGTGTACATACACACTCTTCCGGCAGACTTACCCAGTGACTCCACTCCCTCTCTCTTCTTGCTGCTAGGCTCACAGCTGATATGGTAAAAGGTGAAGAAGATATGGTGTTTCTCATGCACGTGGACCGGCAGCTCAATCTTTACCTGTACACAGTGGAACAGGTCACTATTCCAAGCTTAAGAACACCATCAATTTGCTCTTTATACTGACCAGAATATGAAGATACTGATATAAGTAGGGGGTTACAGTACTGCTAAGGCAACATTATCAAAGGCAGTTCCCAGTGCTCTGAGATTTGTCTGATAAACAGATCAAAACAATGTTAAACTCTTTATCCGTCATTTTCAGGAGCCTGTAAAGTGAATGTTAAACAACCATTCAAAGATAAAGAAAGGTGAAGGGCATTAGCAAGGCAAATTTTAAAAAGTAAACCAAACATTCATTTGTATTTTTATTTAACTTTTGCTTTTAACCCTAGGGCATATGATACTGTATGTTTCAAGGTTTTCTTTAGGTGAAACACTTTTTTTTTAAATCGTCTTATCCACCAGGGGGTACCAACGGCAGGGAAACACACTGTACTTTCCTGCATCTTGCAACATGCAGGTTTTCTCTCAGGAAATGACATATTCCGGCTGCTAACAAATTGCTTAAAAATGTCACGAGCAAAGATGACTGACTCTGTGCGTCATTCAGTGAGCGTGTTCTCGCTTGGGAAAGTCAAATAAAAAGCTTGTGGCTGATTGTGCCCTGACATTCAGAATGGTACAGTAATACTGGTACATGAAGAAGAACAAATCAGTCTTAAACAGGACATTTCAATGTGCTCAAAGACACTCTACAAGATTAAAAAGATAAAACTCAAATATTATCATGTTTAAGCATACATAGATAAAAACTTTTGTTATAAGAATGTAGACAAAATGTCTAGGGTAGTTGATAATTTACTTGAATGTATGACTGTTGAACTACTTTTGGAAAAAAAGAAGAATGTTGTAATAAGTTGTATCTATAGAGCACCTGGAGCCAGCATAGAAAAATTTAATGACTGGCTGGAAGAAAATTACTCGTCAATAAGTCATAAATTAATGTTCATATGTGGTGACTTTAATATAGATTTGTTGAATCCTAACAAGCACACAGGAACTGAGGAGTTTATTAACACATTATATAGATGTAGTTTATACCCAAAAATTACAAAACCAAGTAGATTAACAACCCAGCATGCAACACTAATAGATAATATATTTACTAATGATATTGATAGCAAAATGTCTA